TCGGTCCTTGGCTAGCGAATTACTTTTGCAATTTAAACTTTTCCTTTTCACCATATGACTGGGACCCCCCTGCAGTGGGATACAGTGTTTTCAGGAAAAATACGAAGCAGCAATTTGGACCTCCTCTTAAAATAATTCATAAACTTCTGAAAACTTATTTACGCTGCAAACATTTGCTCCAAATATAGAGTCTTATTAGAACTTGGCTGTTCTTGAACCAGTTAAATACGTGACAGCTCTGGGGATTATGTCGAATGGCGCGTTTACCTTAAGGTAAGTCGTACCATTCGACATAGACCTTCTCCTCTCCTTCGGAGAGGCTCGTACCGGAGCTTTCTCGAGGGGTAGATTCAAAACTTAGAACAGCACCTTTTCCTAGTACAAAAGTGCATCGTTTTTGTATCTCTTTTGAAAGTATTGAAGTTCTGATTTTACCCCTCAACGCCTTCTTAAAGGTGAAAGGCGCAGAGGCCCTTTCTGTCGACCGTAAAGTCTGTTCATAACAACACGAAATGAACAGCCAAAATATTACGTTTTCACAACAAAATAATAACAGCTTATGAACTTAAGGTATTGCAGTTAACATGGCTTTAACGCTCTTTGAATTTTTTTAGGACAAATAAACTAATTTTGTGACAGACAGAGAAACACACACTTACATACAGACAATGTATACCAGTAGAATTTGGGTCAATACTGATAGTGCTCTGCCCGTGCTGAAGGCTACATATTCTTCCTTAATTTTTCAGTATATATAAGGTACTTCCTCTTTTCTAAGTGATTATCTTTGTTCCATCTAGCCGTATTGAACCATTCAAGTTTGGAAAAGTTTCATAAAAATAGATTAACGGTCAAACACTGGATAGCTTGTATATAGACTAGTTTATAGAAGAGTATATTTTTTTTAGTTAAATGGACATGCAGAATCTTGTGAACAACTTGAAGAGCACTGCTCTAAGCGTAGGCGAAATGCTTACTCCCGTACTGAAGGAGAGCAAATTTCGCGAAACCGGAGTACTAACACCAGAAGAGTTCGTCATCGCCGGCGACCATCTCGTTCATCATTGCTCTACTTGGCAGTGGTCAAAAGCTGCTGACCCTAGCAGGTAACCAGTCTTACAGCTTCTTATTACCTTCTCATCAAAGCTTAGATTCCGTTAGCCATCATCATTAGCGAAATTTTTTTTT